GAAAAGGGCTGGCCGGGGCAACGAATTTGGGCCGGGTGGCCCGGATCCGGAGCCCGACCCGGTCGTAACGGTCAACGAAGGTGACCGTTGCGGGCAAAAAGCCAGACCCGGCCCGGCCATAACGGTCAAATTTGATTTTTGACTGTTTTGTCTCAAAAAAACGATCATATGGTGAGGGTTTTTATGGTCATTTGCTTGTCTGCCTCTATAAATAGAGGGGGTTTTTTACTTCTTCTTCTCACACTAAAACTCATCCACTTCTCTCTAATACTCTCTTATACAATATTATACTCTCTAATAATCTCTTACACTTTGTAATCCTTCCATCAAATGGCTTCCGAATCTAATTATGAAGAGCAAAACCTATCTCCTACCAATCTTGAAATGAGTCCTCCTACAACAGCTACGCCTACCGATCCTACCGGTGTTAATCCTGAATCCGGTGGCAACGATTCAACACCAATAGCTCCTAAAAGGCCGAGATCCGATGTGTGGAATTTTTTCGAGAAGATAGACGTCGTCAAGGATGAACACAGTAGGATCCTCACTGTAGGCATCGAAAATTGCCTATAGGTCTCCACGAACAGCTCAAAGCTAAGAGAAGACGATGAACGTCACTATCCAAGCCACAGAAACTTGATTGACGTCGACGAACGCTTGAAGTGAATCGGTGAACTATGTGAAGCAACGGAGTTTCAGAATAATAAGGATACGATTTGATCGGGAGCCCCGTGTCACTTACAAAAGACGGAATGCCCTTCGTGTCTCATTTATTCCACAGATGATCTAATCATTGGAGATTATAGAACTCTTCGTCGGCTTTCCAACGCAATTGGAATCACTCAAATCCGAGTTCGGACGAAGAATTTACGACGGAAACAATAAAACAGGCATAATGGAGCGTCTCAGGCTGAATTGGGGCACCCGGGGTGTCTCGGCACGGGCGAGACACCCTAGGGTGTCTCGGCCCAGTTTGAGACACCCTGGGGTGTCTCCAATGCAGAATTGGTCAGTTATGTGATTTTAACCGTCCGAAACCTCCTGGAGCCTATAAATACAGCCCCGGGTCCTCACTTTTTTCAGATCTGGAATTCTGGTGCCTCGGCGAAGCCCTGCCGGATTAAAGACTTAAAGTACACAGATTTCAGAGAGGAGGAGGAGTTAGATCTCCAGCCTGATTCGTTCCTTAGGATTATCTCGTTGCGGTAATCCTAAGAAGAGTGATTATCTCGCTTCGCCGAGATAAGAGCTACGGTTTCTCAATCCCTTCGCGGATAGACGAAGCTCTGCCCAATTTTTCAGCAATCAGATCTGATAGACGGTGGTCCACGGATAAACCCCGGCACAGGCAAAGATCCCACGCAAGCAGAAGATCGATAAACGATCTCTGCGTTTGTTTGATAAAGTTGTAAACTTTTTTTTGTTTTCATTGTGTAAAAGTCTTATAAAAAGACTGCTTTTTGTATTCGTTGTAAACGTCTGAAGTTTGTAATGAATCTCGCAATGAAACAAGCAACTTTCTCCGCAAACAAACTGGCGACCACAGTGGGAGCCAACAGCCTCGTTGCTGAGGTTGTCGTGTCGCAGCCAACGATCAAGATCCCCGTGGCTGCAGCAAAAGTTCGAGGAGTACGTCTCCTCCTCCTCCTCCTCCTCCAGATCTGCCTCTCCTTGCAGGTGCAGGAAGGCCTCCTCCTCCCAGAAGATCCGTCGGTCTCCAGATCTGAAGAACCAAGAAATCGATCTCCCCATAGCCGATGCTACAGTCGTACCTTGCAACGGCCCGCCGGCACCCAATGAGACCAGATCTACAGATCTGAACTCCTTCACGATTAAGGAGTCGATTGCTGAAGGCGCGCCAACTCTATCAAAGAGAGCACGTCAAAGGAAACGCTAACGTCTCGCGCGCCAATTCGCCAAGGCTTTGGATTAGGTGGATGGACTCCATTACCAAGCAGATCTGGAGTTCATAAAGCGCCAAGTGGCTAATCTGTTGCTACGACCAGCATCGGAATCCTCCTCTCGATCTCCAATTAACGAATGAGTTCGTGTTAAAAGAACCCGCTCTACTCTCGAGAGCGAATCCAGAAGTGCCGCGTCTTACTTGCGCATGCCCGGACCCTTGTGCGAAAAGCACAGGAAATCCAAAAGAAAGAGGCAGTTAAGAGATCGCCGAGATCCAAACAAGTTTGGGTGCCGAAGGCTAAGTCAGCGCCCCTACCCGATAGAAGACATCAGTTGTGTCTCTCGGTTGAGTCCAGATCCAAAGCTGGTTCCCAGCTTTCGTCGAGTTCAGATCTCGTTCCTTTTAATCACGTACCTCCGGTGAAGCTCCGCAACAATATGGACATATCCAGTGGTAGGAAAGTGATAGCGGAACGCCTGGGTCTTTTGCACGAGGATCAAGGCAAAGCACCTATTAAAGAACGCTTGGGACCATTGAAGGAACCCCGAGCAAACATCCGGACTGGGGGTCGTACGCAACCTCCTAACAAATTGATTCGAACAACGGCCCGCTTGGCGGTGCGTGTAGAAAACCAGGAGTCCGTTAAGGTTTCACCCTTACAAGGGTGTGATTCCAAACGTGTGACTCCTGTAGATGCCAACAAGGCAATGTTTACTCAAAGGAAAACGCGTCAGACAGACGAACGCATTATACCTGAGAATTTATATAAACAGCCGATAGGTTACGCCGACCGTAACGTCGATGAGTTGTACTATCGGGCTGGGGGTACGAATAAATCTCGAAAGAGAAGTACCCGGAAAGCGGACTCTCACTGTCCGTGTATTAAACTTATCAGGGCAGTATTATCAGCGTGTAGCTGTTCCAAGACCGCTCCACAGAGGGTCTCAGTATTCGAGAGGATCTCCGATGGAACGACGAAGCCCAAATCAAGGCGTTTCCACCAAAGAGGATCGGTTGATCGAGATGATGAATTCTCAGAAGTTACCATCAATATGGTCAATAAGGAAAAATCTCCGATTGTTTCAAGTGGTTCCAACCCTAATTTCTCTCCAGGAAGAAGAGTCGGTTCGGGAATAACCCAACGAATATCTCAGCTTCAGCTAGAAGCCGTTGGACATAATGATTAAATTTCTGGTGTCATTGTTTAGGAGCTTGTTTAAGACCATACAAAGATTTAACAAGCTTTACAGACTTTGTTTTCTTGACCCTTGGCAATGAGGTCTTCAGGTTGGTGCATATAGATCTCTTCATCTAAATCACCATTCAGGAAAGCAGTCTTGACATCTATCTGATGTATGATTAGCTTATGGATAGCAACAAAGGCTAATAATACTCGGATAGTTGAGATTCAAGCTACAGGAGAATATGTATCAAAATAATCAATGCACTTTTGTTGAGTATAGCCTTTAGCTACTAATCTAGCTTTAAATTTATCTATGGAACCATCAGCTCTGAGTTTCTTCTTGAATATCCATTTACAACCAATAGGTTTACAACCTGGAGGTAAGTCAGTGAGTATCCAAGTATGGTTGTCCATGATAGATTTAATTCCATTATCAATGGCTTCTTTCCAGAAAGGAGATTCAGGTGAATCCATTGCTTCTTGGAATGAGCTTGGATCACCTTCAACAAGAAAGGTTAGGAAGTCTTCTCCAAAATCCTTTTCAATTCTACCTCTTTTGCTTCTTCGATGTTCAATATCAAAAGGTTGAGAAGAACTGGAAGATGGTAGATCAGAAGGAAGAGATGATTTGGGATTTTCTGAGATTTTAGATTTGAAAGGAAATATGTTTTCAAAGTAGACTGCATCTCTTGCTTCAATGATAGTATTGTTGGATATGTCACTGATTTCAGATTTGATGACTAAAAATCTGTTAACATTGCTATCTAGTACATATCCAATAAAAGCAGCATCTACAGTCTTAGAACCAAATTTTTTCTTCTTAGGTTCGGGAATAGCTACTTTAGCCAAGCAACCCCAAACCCGAAAAAATTTTAGATTAGGAGATCTCCCCTTCCAATATTCATAAGGAGTTGTATCAGAATTTTTCTGGAGAATCCTATTGAGAATGAAGCAAGCAGAAAGAAGAGCTTTACCCCAGAGATTTTCAGGTGCTCCTGAACTGAGTAACATACAGTTCAACATGTCCATTAGGGTTCTATTCTTTCGTTCAGCTACCCCGTTAGACTGTGGTGTAT